TATTGTTCCATTTCCTTTCACTTTATGTAAATTAAACAGTGCATTATTCTTGCATATGCGCGCGTATGTGGCTGCTGGGGAGAAATGGTGGAAGGCCGAGTGGGTGGGTGGTAGGTAAAACACCACAGTGGAGTGCGAGATACATGCAGATATTGCATTTGCACTTGGCACATGTGCCAAGTTCTCATTTTTTATTTCTCTCCTGTTTGCTTTTCGCTTAACGAGCAGAGGCAAAAGGAAAAGGGTCGGAAAAGCTGTTGCATATGTAAACTTAATGGCTCTGCGCTGATTTGATTGATTCCATGATATCAATACGGGACAGTGTGTATCCATTGCGATAAGGTCAAGGTTTGACTGACTGACTGACTGGTCTGCTCTGGACCCTCCCTCAGTTCTTATTTTTGCAGAAAATGCGCAATGGAATTTTTCAGCAGGCAAAAGTGGTTTATCTTGTGTGGTGGAATTGTGAATTGAAATATTTTAAAGACATAAAACTAATTTTAAAGAAATTATCACCAGAAAAGATAGTTCAATTAAGTGGGTCATTGGTTATAATTTCTATAGACATCCATTTCAAGTCTATTTTAAAGTTCTACCCATTTTTTACTCAATTTCAATACCTTATGAATTTACTATACATTTTTCCTGTGCTCCTAAGACCGCCCACAGCAACAGGCTTTCATCGATAATTACCATTACCGTATAGAAATCAATTTCATGCTGGCAGCTTTGATGATTTCCCAAGTACTTACTACGTAGACACGCAATGAACGCAGTTTTTAATTTTTGCCACTAAACTCAAACCCAGTAATTTGTAATTTGTTGCATTTCGCATTCGCCGTTCGGTTTTCATCTCTCGCATTTTCACTGTCATGCCTTGATGAGATTGCTGTAGACGACGGCGAGGACTGGAGAATGGAGAATTCTCACCGACCATGAACTCATCTCTCGTGCGTTGCACAAAAGGATTTTACCAAGTGCCCCATGTTTGCGTTTTTTGAGGAGGAGGAGGAGGAGAAGCATTTACTGCGTAGTTTTTCCACAGTTTTCCCCCGCTTGGAAAACCGTCTGAAGCCCCCAATCCCAATTCCTTTAGACACGTTTCAAGTACGTAGCGAAAACGAAAACAGTGCGCAATATTTTCACACTGGAGTGGAATGCGACGCAAGGGTGAAAGTGGCGAAAAGGGGAAATTCTGCTTATCATCGTGTCACTTTGGCATTACATTAAACCATAAAAAAGTGTGTGGGAAAACCCTCTGAGAACTATGAAATTGTGCACTAGATAAACACCATATGAAAGTGGTATTTAGGTGGCATTAAAATCCACCTTAAATGTTTTCCAGCTGGCAGCCCAATGTCAACAAATGAGCCATATCAAAAATCAATACAAATATGCATTAAATATTGCCAACTACTCAGGGGAATGGAATGGGGAAGTACGAACAAGAAAGCTGAAACGGAAGGCAATGAAAATGAATGGTGCTTTCCCTAAAAGGCTTATAGCTATTATTGTTTATGACAAACTAAACTAAATTTACAATTACATTAATGGACGGAATTTTGAGTAATGCGAATGGAAAGCATTAAAATACAAGTAAACTCTGTCAAGTTAGGCAGTAAAGTTAGGTATACTCAGTCACTTAAAATCAAAGTTCTCTTTCAATAATCAGAATATGTTCTAAGCAAACATAAAAAAGGAAATCGAATTATGGCTAATTCTTTTATAATCTACTTTATTAGTGGGACAGGCATGGTTTACAATAATAACAACTTAATCTCTGATAATGATCTGATTATTGTGTTTTGATTAAGTTAGGTATACTCGAGAGTAAACAATTCCGTGCTCAATGATTTATAGTACCTAAATTTTTAAAGGGTTTACTTTTTATAAAAATAAAAAAAGGAACCAACCAACGAAGCAACTACTGTAGAATATGGAATAGTTTGACGAAAGTTTATTGCCACTTTTGGTAACGTTCAAAAGCTGTTCTCGCCCTCAAACATTTTATTTAGCTTATTGATTATAGCTGGGAAACCAATAGACATGCGTCAAATGCATACTATTGAAGGAGGAGGCAGGATGAGCTATAGTACATGAGAGGTGTATGGTGTGGTTTAGAGCTGGCAATCAACGATGGTGGGGTGACATCCTTGCTAAGTGACAGGAAAATATATAAGAGCGTAGATTTTATCGAGATATGCTGTCGTTTACAAAAACCATGTACTGCAATTTGCTTGTGCTTATATTTGGGAACCTTAAGCTTAATCGATAAAGAAGCAAAAGCCCCGATAGAAGGCACCAATCGATAATATCGATATTGTTGTCGAGCATTGCCATCTCTAATTAAGGAGGCCTAGGGTGGGAAAATAATTTCCCACCAATGAGTGGGCGAAGGCTGCCGACTGCCGCCTGTCGACTGGCGCTTAGTCATTAGATGACCAAAACGATGACTGTGTTTTGGTGGTTGGGCGGCGAAAATCTTATAAATGCCAGCAGAAAAAGTAGAAAACAACAGGCGAACAAAGCACAGCACAGCAAAAGCAAAAGCAAAAGCAAAACAAAACAGCAGAGGAGAACTAAAGCAGAAGCAGAAGCAAAGTGAATAGCAGTGGCCACAAAGCGGACTTGTCTCATTATTTTGTGAGCCCTCCCTGGTTATTTGTTATTGTTTTCAGCGATGATATGCTGGGGAATTTCGCTACCACTACTGAGTAAATAATGTCATAAGGTCACACGCACAACAACACACATTAAAGGGGGGAACACTGTGGGCCTAATGGTCAGCCATTGTTATTTTTTTGTCATTTGTCTTGGGACTTTTGGGCTGGGCTAGGCTGGGGCTGATGGTTTTATATAAAATAGCATAATAAATGGCCAGCCCAGTCTTTTGGATTCGCCATCGTCGCTTCTCCGTCCCCCATATTAAATGTCACGTCGGGGTTGACATTGTGTTTGCCCTCTCGCATGTCCCGCCCCCCAGCGAAGGTGATTGAAACAAATTAAAGCGAAAAAACAGTGCAGAAATTCAATTATTAACAGGGCAGCGCGTTGAAAAGCGCTGACCACCGTCACTCAACGTGGAAAATAGGTACAAAAAGCCTCCGTCAAAGGCAGCTGTGCAAACTTTTCACTCTCCACTCGCACCCACTCTCTCTATTTTGCTCTTTTTTTACCTCCCAGTGAGTTCCGGCTGCCCAACTCACACACATGCGTATTCTGGTTTGTCAAACACTGAAAAAAATTTGCAAGTATCGGATTTGAAACACTGTCGTGCACTGTTTGTGTGGCGGCAGAGAATGGGCAGAGCTTTTCTCCGTGTCTGCTAGGGGGCTTAAACCTTTATTATTAGCTGGAGTCTTACGTAATAATATCCATTATATCAAGAAGATGTGCATCAATGGTTTTAAAATTACATTCTTTCAAATATTTTATTTTAAAAAAAAATAAAGTTTAAAAAATAACAGGTTGATTTGTCAAAGAAGTCAATACACAACGTATGAATATGTTAAAATGTTTATTTGAGAAACTTCCTAAAGACTATTTATTTTGCAAACAATCCATTTGTATTTTTCTCAGTGGAAATCTAAAAGGAATATTTTACTGCTATAATTTAATATTGAAATATTTTCAACAAATGGCTTCCATTGATGTTTTTCTCTCTGTGCAGAGACGCCCACGCGTCTCGATTTCCATTTCCACCAGCAGACAAGCAGACAAGCGGACAGGCAGCTGGCCCAAGCCAAGTTGATCGCATTTACCTGTTTGTCACTCATACGCCTTGTGGTCCCAGTCAGTCAGTAGTTGGTTTATTTTCTGGCTCTTTTATTTCCAGCTCTTTTACATGTGGGTGTTCCTGAGCCGATGAGCGAGTGTGTGCGACGTGTTTAACATGTTTTCGCTTGGAAATCGACGGTGGGCAGTCGGTTTGACTTGCATTTGTGCAAATTTGTGTGCCTAACTGGAAACACTGAACAAGTTCCGCAATGTGCAATGTCGTCCTCGAAGTGAAAACTGTGCAGCAGCCACACACACTCACACACACACTTTCCTGCCTCAACCATTTCCCTCAAATTGAAGTTCAACCTGGTCCAGTCCAGTGGATGATTTCTCCCCCATCTCGAAACAAGCCATGCAAATGAATGAGTTTTCCATGCCAGCTTGGGCGACGCGTCCTTCATTTGGCTTCATTTCCGTTCAAGATGACAGCGGCATCTAGTTTCCGGTCAATGGCTTTTCCGGGCTCGTTTTGATTTAATTTAGACGCCATGCTAAATTTAATTTAACAGTCAGTTACAGTTGAAAGTTAAGAGAAAAAAAAACTGAGCCTCAAGTTGGCCACATTCTGGGCTTTGCGGCTGCGAAAGTCCAGCTGGGGTCCAGCTTTTGGTTTTTCGGTTTTCGTGGTCTGCCGGGGAAAGTTCAGATGGCTGGAATCGAATTCAGGATTCAGCAATTGCCATACGTCAATCAATCAATCAATCAGGAGACTGATTGCCACTGCAAATGGTGCACATGGGACGTTTCCTTTGTTGTTCACTGAGTTTTCCGGAGAAAGTATAGCAATTGATTAAGAAAAAAATAGAAGTATCAAGGTCAACCCATATGCCAATTAATAAAATCACTTTCCAAAAGGAAAAACAAAGATTTCACTGAAAAATGTATACATTATAATTTGCAAAAATGTCTCTTAAAATCGCATACTTTATATAATTTGAATGCTCACCTTGGTTTTTAGTGTTGCCACAGTCCCCATTATTTTTTTTATCAGCTATCTGTGTTATCTGGTAACAAAGAAATCACAGGCAAAGCCTTTATCTCCCCAACGCACACACAAACGCACCTGCAAAGCCAACGATTAGATACACCTGAATGTTTCATTTTATCAGACTCTTTGGTGCTTTTTCGTGCCTTTCACTGCGGTGTCAATTTTTGAGTAATTTACACCGATAAGAACCTATCTAACTGACAAAACCCCATACGTTTCTTTTTGATTGCAGTGCATGTGATGCCAAATATCCATAGAACCCAATAAAGAAATCAATGCAAACGCGAATTACTATGTGAATGCAGCAAATCAGCAGTAAGCAGCAGCAGCTCTTTCTCAGTTAACCAAATTGATGTGCCATTCAGGAGCAGCAGCAGCAGCGCAGCAAAAGGATCCAAGAAAGGAGCAACCAACGTAGAAGCTAAGCGAGAGTATTAAACCAGAGTAAGGCGCATCGCAAATGCAACAATCCCTCCAGTAAACAATACAAAAATCAACAACAAGTACAGCAAACAAAAAGAAACAGGTGAGTTGTAGACCGACTGATAAATGGAGACACATGAAGTCACCGTGAGCTAATTGATTGCCCCCACTTTATTCCAGTGTACATACAACTGTAACGAATTTAAGCAACAACAACAAGCAAAAGCGGTTCCGGACGAGAGAGGAGTATAACAAATTTAACGCCCCCAGAGTAACCAACAGTTAGATGCCAAGATAAGTCGTTACCGCTTTAATACCGCCATCAACATTACCCAGCAACAGAAGCTGATCCAGCAACTCCAGCAGCAGCAACAACAGCAGCAGCAGCAGGCGATCGCTTTCAAGGGGAAGAAGAAAAACAAGCAGAAATTGCAGTTGCAGCAGCCGTTGCAGCAGTTGCAGTTGCACATTGGTCAGGAAGGACAGGACGCTGAAGGAGCTGTAGAGCTGTTGGGCTTACCCAGAGGTAGCGATAACAATTGCAAAACGCCAAACTCAACCGCAAAAGTCGCCAACATAACACATAAAATTTTCGGTTGGCTACGCAAATCACGCAACAAACGGCCAGTCGAGATCCTCAACAGCGATTTCGGCGAAGACGGCGACGAGGGCGTTGGCGAGGGCAAAGGCCAAGGCGCAGGCGAGGAGGGAGGAGGAGCAGCAGCTGCCAGTGCAGCTGGCGGTGCAGCCGATCAATTTTCAGTGGCAAGCGTTAAAAACAAAGCCGGCAAGCTGAATACCACACAGACAGCCACGGAGACCGCCATCGATTCAAACGAACCCAAATCTGAAAAGATGTCATCGGGCACGTTTGTGGATCGAATCGACCCGTTCGCCAAACGTTCGCTCAAGAAGAAGGGTAAAAAGAGTCAAGGTTCCTCGCGCTACAGAAATTCTCAGGATGTTGAGCTGCAGCAATTGCCGCCGTTAAAAGGTTAATAACCATTTGATCTCTCTCTTAAATTACCCAACAATCTAAACGTATTTGTTTTCTTTTAGCCGATTGCTCCAGCTTAGAACAGGAGGAGCTGTTTATACGGAAGCTGCGCCAGTGTTGCGTGTCCTTTGACTTTATGGATCCCGTTACGGACTTGAAGGGCAAGGAGATCAAACGGGCCGCGCTCAATGACCTATCCACCTATATAACACATGGGCGCGGTGTGCTTACGGAACCGGTTTACCCGGAAATAATTCGCATGGTAAATATTGAGACTACCACAATACCCTTTGTATTATTATCAAATTAACTGATATCACTATATAGTATTATAAACAACTTAACTATAAGTTATTATATGTACAATTTTTATTTTCTTTCACTAGATTTCTTGCAACCTATTTCGCACGTTGCCGCCCAGTGAGAATCCCGATTTCGATCCCGAGGAGGATGATCCGACTCTGGAGGCTTCCTGGCCACACCTGCAGCTGGTGTATGAGGTGTTCTTGCGGTTCCTGGAGTCTCAGGATTTCCAAGCGACCATCGGCAAGCGTGTGATCGATCAAAAGTTCGTTTTGCAGGTGAGTCTTAGATTCTGCACTTAAAGTTGTCGAGTTTACTAATAGTTTTTGTCTGTTGGATAGCTGTTGGAACTTTTCGACTCGGAGGATCCCAGGGAGCGGGACTTTCTGAAGACGGTGTTGCATCGCATATACGGAAAATTTTTGGGACTGCGGGCTTTTATACGAAAACAAATCAACAACATATTCTTGCGATTCATTTACGAGACGGAGCACTTCAATGGAGTCGGTGAACTTTTGGAAATCCTTGGCAGGTATGTTTATCATGTGCATAATCAGCTGATTATACAAATGTTAATGGGATTTGTTTTCGTTTATTCGATTAGTATCATCAACGGATTCGCCTTGCCCCTGAAGGCCGAACACAAGCAGTTTCTGGTTAAGGTCCTATTGCCACTGCACAAAGTCAAATGCCTGTCGCTCTACCACGCTCAACTGGCGTATTGCATTGTACAATTCCTAGAGAAGGATCCATTCCTTACCGAACCGGTGGTGCGTGGCCTGCTTAAGTTCTGGCCCAAGACGTGTTCCCAGAAGGAGGTCATGTTCCTGGGTGAGATCGAGGAGATTCTCGACGTGATCGATCCGCCGCAGTTTGTCAAGATCCAGGAGCCGCTGTTCCGTCAGATTGCAAAATGCGTGTCCAGTCCACATTTTCAGGTATGTCCCAGGGTTTATCTATGAACGATGGATTACCGTATGCTTACTAAGTTCTAGAGAGAACCTTGATTATAATGTTTCAATCTTCCTCCAGGTTGCTGAGCGAGCTCTTTATCTGTGGAACAATGAGTACGCCATGTCGCTCATCGAGGAGAACAATGCGGTCATTATGCCCATCATGTTCCCGGCCCTTTATCGCATCAGCAAGGAGCACTGGAATCAAACCATTGTGGCGCTCGTCTACAACGTGTTGAAGACGTTTATGGAAATGAACTCGAAGCTGTTCGATGAGCTGACCTCCAGCTACAAGGCGGAGCGGCAAAAGTGGGTGCTAGCACCAGAGTTCAAAACCAACATATAATAAACATTTTATAATTTTATAGGGAAAAGAAACGGGAGCGGGACCGCGAGGAGCTGTGGAAGAAGCTGCACGAACTCGAATCCAATCGTTCTAGTGGGCGCACCGCCGGCGGCAGCGCCACGACATCGAACACAGCAGCTTCCGCGGCGTCAACGTCCCTGCAGCCACCCAGCACCGCTGGCCTGAACTCTCATCAGCAGCAGTCGAATAGCAGCAGCAGCGGCAGTCTGTCCAGCGGCGGTGCCGGCGGCGACAATAATCCTGCGACCACAAATGCGAAAATCAAACAGGATAAGGCGGACAACTAAGCAACGCAAGGCGCGCCCGAAACTAACAATAATACAAAAAAAGTAAAACCAACATCAGTAAAAGCGTAAGCGTAACGCGTTATCCGATATCCGTAAACCGTAAACCGGCAGAGACAGCAACCACACATCTAAAGGAGAAATAAATAGTTATACTAAACCACACATATGCTAAACCTTAAAACCAGAAAATATAAAACTAAAATGTATACTCGATTGACAAGACACCAACCAAGCTGACCCGCAGGACGCTTGGGCGGCTGTTGAAGGAGGTAGAACCGAAATCTGGAGCGGGAGCTGAATCAGATCCCAGGGCGTGTGTGTGTGTGCGCGGTAATTGAGAAGCTTGAGTGCGGCATAAAAGAAAGAAATCTTTATAAATAATGTATCTTACACCTACGGCAAAACACACACACACATACACGTGCGCGACACGTATAAATATATATTACAAAAAAAGAAGAAACATAATTATTAATTACGTTTAAGCGAAAACAAGTTGAATAAAGAGAAATCATGTTAGTAAGTGAAATGCAGAAGAGTAAAAGAGCGATAACTATAACGGATTGACGATTGTTGAAGCGCATTGAATATTATTAACTAAACATATTGCTAACTAGCATAGATCAGCCATCCTATCCCCCACCCACGAACACTACGAGAACAACACCCCAATCACCTAAATGTTCACTTGCAAAGTATTTGCGTTCATTTGAAATGTGTAAAATAGTTGAAACTGCGCTGCATCCTCAGATTTTGATTTTCCGTTTTTTTTTTTAACTGCTCCATATAACGGCGTGTCTTAGTCCAGATTTCCCACTGAATTGTATATAAAATATCCGAGAACTGTGCTCCCCCTCCTCACCCAGAATGAAACTTTGTTACTTAGCTTTAAGTGTTGCACACTCCGTCAAGACTTCTCGAAAACAGAAATTCCAACAATTCCCGCTAAATGCCTGCGCAGTTACGATGCCGAATCTGCATTCAAGTGTAGGCAGAAAAAACAAAAGCAAAGCCAAGTTTTAGTACATTGTTGAAGTTGCTGCTAAACGGGCCAAGATAGACAGGGAGCCGGCAAAAATCTATAAATAATTAAGAATACAATTAAATACCATAACGTACGATAAACGCTGATCTATATAAATGTATGTAAAGTGTGCGGAAAATACACAAAAATATATCTCCAAGCTGAGGAATAGGCGCATGCGCGGTAATCGAGATGTAAGCGGCAAAGAAATGAATACAAATATGGAGCATTGTAAAAAGGTTAAGCTAGAGAAACCAACCAACCAACAACCAAGCGAACGATAGTTTATAGAACAAGGTTATGGAAAATTCAGCTTGGCATATAGTCTCTACTACCCCCATATGATAATTGGCATCTTGCGAAACATTTCCACAGTCCACTCCAGGCTCGATGCATCCATCTACACTCTATAATATCCCTTGCATATATGTATATCTCTGCGGAAAGTGGTCCAGTGTAGCAACCCACATGGTTTTGCAAATTCCTTTTCGACTCTTCTGGATTTAATTAATTTATTTTCAATCCTCACGGAAATGCGCACAATTGTCATTCGATTTGCTAAACAATTCTTTCGATTGTAAATAATGTAGCTAAGTTAAAAGGGGCAGTACTTTTGGACCACTTTCCCAGCATTCTCACTCAATCACACTCACACTTAGCCGCACTCTCATAGTAAGGAAATATATAAAATTTATATATGAAATAAATGTTTGTTCATTCAACTCTCACGCCCATTACAAAGTATAGAAGCATGCATTATAGGAGCAAAAAAAAAAACTAGGAGCAGAGGCGGCGATAGGGAAGCAAAAATAGGACGAGATGAAAATATCCACTAATGAATGTCTCTCATTAAGCGAAACCGCAAGAGTTCATATAATATTAAAGATAATTGTGTCTGTGAATCGTGAGTTATTATACACATATATTGCAAACAAAACTGGAAAATAAGAAAAAAAAAACTATAAAAAAATCTAAAGGAAACGTAAAAGTTAGCGTTATTATTAAATATGTTTGTAAAACGTCAAAAATATGCAACAATACAGAAGCGAGGGAAAAGCGTATAAAGTGCATCAACTAAAGAGTCGTCGGCTAGAGCAGAGAGTATATTTCGAAAACAAAAATTGAACCTATGGCCTAAATACTAAGCAACGTGTGTAAGAAAGTTTTGCATCTTTATATTAGCGTGTAATTAAACAAACAAATAGCTAAACAAAGCCCAAGCCTAAACAGCAACTACAACTAGAGCTACTACAAAGAAATCACGAGTATCATCCCCCCCCATTGAGATGCAATAGCGATCAGATCCGATATCCCCGAGCGTTAAGTCTTACTGCCTTTAAAGAGATCCCAAGAAGAACACCAAAAATAATGAAGAACAGGACTGTAGAATGTTAGAAGTCAGAGGCAGGAGTTCTTGACCTCTTTGTTATGCCAATCCCCCGTAACACCAAAACTCTATTCCTAACTAGCAGATCCATCACCCACGAATAGGACCCATCTCTAGTTAACGTTGATGTTCGCATAGGATGCCAATCAGTGACAGAAAAAGAACATATTCAAATAATGCAAATGTAAAAACGAAACATGAAATCAAGTAAACATAAACAACAAGAATTAAATAAAGATGTTGAAAAAGAATGCCTAATAAACGATAAATACATATGTAAGTCAAGTGGTTTAATGATTATTGTCTCTTCAGTTTTGTTTGTTTTGTGATCAACACTTCTGTTGCACTCTGAGTTAACCTGTTTAGTCCGCTTTCAACTTATATGGTAACTTTAACTATAGTTTCTATTATTGTATTTATATGTATAAACAAATCGAGCATGTTATATCGTAACTGCAACAGCTGCTTAGAGCCAGCTGAGCAAGAAGTATAAGCAAAAGCAAAACTCGTTAAGTACTTTTAGAGACAAAAACCCTGTACTAAGAAGTGTACTAAAAATAAAGTCGCATTAACAACGTTGCATCAAAAAAAACAAAAAACAAAAAACAAATGAAAATGAAAATGCCGAAAGAACGGAAAATGCTAACAAAAACCAACAACAATAAGAGCAAAAAATAGTTAAAGCGCTTAAACAATATAAATACTATGGATACTAACAATGAAATGAGAACGGAGCCGATGGAAAAGGATAAATATATATGTGAATTATGTATTTTCTTATGTTCTAGACTTGTAAAAAAAACCTATCGTATATGACACATGCTATTATTATTATGTATAACTTTCAGTTCGTGTTCTATAGGACGGTGTGCGAGTATTTCGATTGTTTTCTTGGGTTAAAGGCACACTGCACCACACTCACCCACACACCCACACTCACTCACACACACTCAGAGACACACAACTAAACAAAATCTTATGCTGAGAGTAAATATAAAGAGTAAATTATAATTACACAAACATAAATGGGAATAAATATATATAGGTCATAAAAAAAAAGTATATATACAAGAGCATCGGAAAACAAAGGTTTAGTTGATTGCTTTCGAATCCAGGCAGAAAGTATGCGAAAAAAAAACAAAACTAATGGCGAGAGGCAGCAGAAAAAATTGAAATTGCATGGCGCAGAGAAAAACAAATATTTAGCTGCAAGCAGAATTAACCAAAAATGATTAAAACCCAATGAAAAACACACAAAAACTGAATGAATGAGTAAGAGCAAAAGGAGAGAAAAGAAGCAAAGAGATCAATCAACAATAAAAAATTAATAAATACAAAATAAAACACAAAACTTGTTTGATTTGTTTTTAGAAAATGGTACTGAAAACTTGGGACCTCGTTTTAAAAATATGCTTTAAAGAACCGATCGGCGCGGAAAACAATAACCTTTTGTCTGTTGTACGCTGAAAGTGTGCCGGCAGAGACTGGGCAGACCTACTTCCCTATGCTCAATAGTCGTTGTAAGACACTTCTGGGCCCTTATAATTGCATTTTACAAAAATCTCAAGTGGAAATTTGAAAAAATTCGATGTTACTTGAATATGAGAATGCTTAATCTGTTTGAAAGAAGAGATTCGATATTTTGAAAAATGAACCATCTGGGTTTTTGCCCTGCAATCTTAGCAATCAGCTTCTGTAAGGTGGGAAAGCTAGTAAATCTCATAGCATAGAGCTTTGCCGTCGGGCCACAAAAGCTGTTGCGCTGCAGTTGGTTTGCCTGCGTTGGCAGGTGCAGTTGGTAAATCGCGAGAAAAATCAATTTTTGAAAATTCCAACCACTCGCTGAGTATTCCATCCATGAAGTGGGAGAACTATTGCGATTTTGTGGCCGGATGTTTTGGCGGTGAGTGGAAAAGCTCCAGCTGGTAATCGTCATCGAGCATCGCATCCCATATTGGGCAAACTCTGGGAATGACGCAATGCAGCCACTTGTTGAGAGGAACAGCAGCAGCAAAACGGGCGCCATGGTCAAGTTCACGTGCAACGCCCCTGATCCCTCGAATTTTTGGCAAGCCGCTTACGGCGGCCGTTCAACATGTGTTCAACTTTGTGGCTACAAATTTTTAATTAGTTTATGCTATATTCATTATTTTATTAAGGTGCCTGCGGCGTGCTGGTGGCCCACCCACTCGACACAATCAAAGTATGGCAACAGGCCTCAAATTCATCCGTCGTGACAGCCATTCAACAGATCTACAGCCGCAACAATGGGGTAAGTTTGAAAAAAGGGTTACGTCAAGTTGGGGTTTTCGAAAACATCAGTTTTTTAACTTTCTTTCGAGGTGCAGAAATTAAAACCTATCTTTTTCAGTATTCAATTTACGGGCTAAGAGAAACATTTATAAATACATAGTAAATGAACTGGCAATTTAAAAATCCAGTTTTTAACTTCTTAATAGTTTATAATATTTCTTTTTTACGGTTTTACTTTCTTTTCACTTTTTTTACAATTTGTTTAATACAGTAAAACTCTAATATTATTTTCTTATCCTGTTTAACTGACTTTTCAACTGCTTTTCAAGTTGCATGCATAAATAATTATTTAAAAAGGTTAGTCAGGAAAAAACCAAAGCTGAAGGCTTATCTGTATAAAGGATATATATCCAAGCTGTATTTAATTTTTACACATTTTTCCAGATATCTAAAATTAAGATAATTAAAAAAAAGATAATTTAAAAAACACCAAATAGGTGTAAACATCCAGATTTGCATGTACGATTTGTAGTAGACTTTGATAGAACACCAAAATTTGGTGTTATAGACCCTACCTTGACGTAAGCCCTAAAGAAGGGTGGCGGGGAGGCAACAGGTGTAACCGGTCAACATCGCTTTAAAGGTCAACGGCTTCTACAGGGGCATGTTCTTTCCGTTCATCTCGACGGGAGCGATCAACTCGCTGCTCTTCGGCATCTATGGAAACCATCTGCGGCAGCTGAGGAAGGTGTGTCACAGTGACTACCAGCGGGAGCAGCTGGAGTACCACAACATGTTCCTGGCGGGATCGGTGGCCGGGTTCGTCCAGTCCTTCATCGCATGCCCCATGGAACTGATCAAAGTTCGCCTGCAGACAGCGACTTGTAGGTTTGACATGATTTTACTGTCCTGAAACTGAAAGCTAACCTCCCAAAGACCACAGATTATAATGATTACCTCTATGGCCAGCGGCGGACTGCCTTTGGGACTTTCAAAAGGATACTCAAGACTGATGGGATCTCGGGTCTTTATAGAGGCCTGTTGCCCATGATGTGCCGGTAAGTTTAAACAATAGAGTTTGTGTTATACCTGTTACACTGCAGTTGATGACTCATTTAAAAAAAAGGGAGCTTGTCTAAAGAATCTCCTTTAAGGGGACTCCCTGTTACCGATTTTACGAAAATAAGAACTGGCACATTTTCAATAGAAATTCTCAAGGGCAATAAACCATAAGTGTTTAACGTCTGAATTAAATTAAACCAAACATTTTTAGCCGGCAAACAAGTTTGAATACGTCGATACTAAAACTCGTTTCACCGACCACAGAATTTTGGAATTTACGTTCCTTCATGAATGGATTCCACAGCTAATTAGTACGATATCTTAGAGAGCATGACGTTGATACGTAACTCAGGTCAGGGAAACTCCCCTTTTCTCTGCAGAGTAGCGAATACAACGGCAATTTATAAATATTCAAAATGAACTTTGAAATTTGAATACCCCAGTGACTCAGCTAAACGCTTATTAAATCAAAATAGTGTTTGGCGCCACATTTAGTATTGGAGACATCTGTTTTGTAGTCTATAAAACCTTGCTCTATATTTTTTATGGAAAGTAGGTTATATTTTTTTTGTTTAATTTAATTATTATTATCAAGTATTCAATTTATATAAGCTTATTTCAACAACTAATAATGTTTTTTTAATTCATGGGCTTATCTTAACGATTCGTATGTTTTATTTTGCAGCGACGTCTTGCCTTATGGCATCTATATGCTGGCCTATCGCCAAGGAATTGATTACATGGACAGGCGGGATTTTGTACGCCGACGACGCAGTCAGTCGGACGGATCGAGTGTGAACATCCTGGTGACCACGCTAGCTGGAGCCTGGGCCGGCGTCATATCGTGGGTGTGTGTCATTCCGTTCGACGTGGTGAAGACGCTGATGCAGGCGGACGAGAACCACAGGTACCGGGGAATCTTCCACTGCGTGAAGGTCCAGTACAGGGCCTACGGCTGGAGGAGCATCTTCCGGGGCAGCTGGATGCTGGTGGCACGAGCGGTTCCCTTCAATGCAGCCACCTTCCTGGGGTACGAGTACACCCTGGAGTGGTGCCAGCGGTGGAATGGTACTTACGTGTGACCCAGCCGGTCTGGTGGTGATTAAGAGCTTTAACTAAGACGAGTGTGATTCAAACTTAATAAACTATTTACGCTTTTTCTATACTGTACACCCACGTTTTGATATAACTGTTCAGGATTCTTGAGATGGTCCTCTCTTCTTTTCGAAGGGATATATTTTAAGACCATTGCATATGGGTATTTCCACGGGTCGCGATCGTATGTTCGTACGCACTTAGTGCACATAAATAAAAGGAAAAAAAACTTTTTCCGATACTTATATTTGCTTTTCGATAGCATTTTGTTAGCTCTTTGCTTAGTGTAAATGATGGGGTTTATTGAGCTATATTTTCATAAGCTTCATAATATTGGCAAAAAACATGCGGTCACGAACGCACGCAAAATGGAAGTCGACTTGGGCTTAATCTAGTAAAATGCAAAAATCTGCGAATTAGGGCGGAATATTCTAAAGCAATAACTTTACTTTTAAAATGGATTCATGTAGCTTTTTATCGAATTTATCGAATAAAGTACCGGTCGCGAACGTACGATTTTTCCATGTTATTTTATTAACAGCTAATTGAACATTTTTTCGCTCTCTCTGGATATTTATCTTCTTATTAAACTGCAATAAAGAGATTTGGTAGAAAAAGTGCTCAAATTTCATATGTTTTCCTTGCAAAATAGTTAATAATAAAAATGCCTTTAAAAGTAGCAAAAAGTGAAAAGTAAATTTGTTTGCCATTTTTCGAAAAAAAGTGATGTAACCCCTACAAAAATTGAGTAAATTAAAATAAATTTTCCTAAAAGTGATGAGTATCGTTAGCATATTTAGCAAGCTGTTCAAAACAGTCGGTCTTTTAGCTGTACGCCTTGATTTGGCTGAACTACGATGGAAAAACCGGAAAAAAATGTAGAATTTTTGACAAAAATCTGAACTTTGTATTTTTGACAAAAATTTTAACCCTTTTTTCGCCATAAAAATTAATTTTTTTGGCTGCCATAACAAAAATATAAGTCAGAATGAGGAATGTCATACCTCGTTGAGCTCGTTGTTTAATTTCCAATCGATTGGCATTTCAACCTGAAAATTTTTAATTTTTGCCATTTTTCGAAAAAAAGTGATGTAACCCCTACAAATATTGAGAAAATTGGTCAAAAAATAAATTTTTTTAAAAGTGATGAGGATCGTTTTAGGAAAAAATTTTCGACAAAACAAATGAAATATGCTTTGGTTCCACTGTATTATGAAAATATGGACATTTATTTATGAAAATACACAAAAAATACGATGATTATGAAGTTTTCGGTCCTGGTTTACAATTTGGCGGACATGCACATATGGCGCATATTTCAATTTCGGTCAGGTAATAATGAAGCAAGGAAGAATCTGTAATGGATAACGAGTATCTGGGTGTCAAACCTATATTTAAAAAACCAAGCATTTTCAAAACCATATTTGGGAAATCTTAACCACCTTATTTGTTTACTTTTTTATTTTAAAACGCTTGTAATAAGACATCCAATAGGAAGAAGGCCTTCTGCTAGTCGTTTGTTTACTGTTTTTCCCCGGCCGCTATCAACCAATCAATAACTTCATTAAAGAAACGCATACCCCTAAACCGGCTGAAAGAGAATACACAACACCCAACTGCTTCGAGTCATAAAATCTGAACCGTCTAGCACAGCAGAGACAGTATTCAATTAACCGAAAAACTCGACGGTTGTCATTCCTTGCCGCGGTATAAAACTTGACTCTCGATCTCTCTGCAAAAATATCACGATACTAATCTGATAACGCACATCTTTAAAACCAAAAACATATTTGTAGACTTGACACTTTAGAAGTGAGTGATCAAAAAGTGAAAGAAAAAACTGAAATAAATAAAGATTTTATCGATGGTTGAAAATATAAGTCGATACATATCAATCTATCTATCAATATAAGTGATCTAATCTTTTCTTACCTGTGTATTCTCCTCCTCAACATTTTGATCAACATTTTCAATCTATCTATCTATATAAGTGATCAAATCTTTTCTTACCTGTGTATTCTCCTCCTCAACATTTTGATATAAATGTCACTGCATGGACAATTGTCACAATTCGCACTTAGATGCCACGAATATTAATCAGCCCAACTCATCATAAATCAATCAGTACCTACCGATGATTCAAGTTTTTTAAATTCCTGGTGTTTTTATTTGATTTTTGCCGGCCGGTTTTTTCATTTTTCTTTTGCAAAAAATAATCTATTTATTCTGAATGATTAAAAACAGTCCGGCTTTTAATTGCAGTTTGATCTCAAGCTCTGAATGATGAAAATGAATCTTGGACTTAAAGTGTGTAGTCTGCTTGCTTTTCTTCTGATACTTTCCACCGTTTCTGGTAAATATTTAATAAATTTATATTACTTAAGTTCCGTCTACAAAAAATTAAAAAAAAAAAATTAATCCTTTTAAATATTACTTAAGAAACATTTATAATATTATTTTAAGAGAAACCACAAAACTTTTAAATTGATTAATTAACGGTAAATATTACACTAAATTTACTTACGAAAAAGGATTCAAGGAAAAATTCTTTTTTTTGTACGAATTATTAATTCAAATCTCCATCAGGGTTTAATAGTTGTCAACGCGATGAAAAGTGCGTAAGACTATACCTGTGCCCCCACTTGTACCACTTCGCCCTTGACGATCGAATTGCACACATACAGTGCGGAATCGATAACACGGCCAATTTGGTAGACCAGAGAATCTACGTTTGCTGCCCGGAACCAGGTAATGTCCTGCCAGATGACAAAACCTGTGGATGGAGGCCTGGCGCTCATCGAATTTTCGGTGGAGTAGAGGCTCAACCCAACGAGTTTCCATGGATGGCCTTGCTCCTGGACATTGAAGGCAAAGGCGTATGTGGTGGTTCCCTGATCAACAATCGCTATGTTGTGACTGCCGCACATTGCGTGAGCAGGGTGAAGATTTATAACGTTCGGCTGGGCGAGCATGACATATCCTCCGACCCCGACATCATCATGAATAAAAACGAGGCACCAAGGTGGGCTGCTCCGCACTTGGAAATTGAAGTGGAGAACATTGTCGTACATAGAGATTTCCAGCACACGCCTATGCAAAACGACATTGCCCTTATACGACTTATATTGCCAGTACGGTAAGTTGCGGTTTCCTCAATATAAGAATTATTGTTTTACCAATCCAGGTTTTTTTCCATCAGCTACACCAATGAAATTAGACCCATTTGTGTTCTGGGCAGTCACATCTCCTTGATAAACTCGACATTTCACCACGAATTCGAAATAGCCGGCTGGGGCACTACTGAAAGTAACAATAACAGTAATGTCTTGTTGACGGCCACCATCAAGAAGGATAAGTGTCCTAAACGGCATAAATACCTGAAGGAGACCCAAACATGTGCGGGTAAGAACGGCACGGACACCTGTTTTGGAGACTCCGGCGGTCCACTGATGGGCACTATGATACGTTATAGACAAGAGATCGTGTATCTAGCTGGAATCACATCTCACGGAGATAATAAGTGCGGACAAGCTGGTGTCTATACGAAAATGGAATCCTATATCTATTGGGTTCTATATTTTTTAAGAGCTTGAACATCTTTTTCCTTTGCCAATCGTACCTATATAGAATTTTGTATTGATATCTCGCTCTTATTTAAAAAAATCATAAATTCATTGAACTTTAATGTTTAAAAGTCACAATATTGTTAATAATAAAGGTACGGAAAGAACGCTAAACTTTGAGTGATGTTTATATTCAAATTGTTTCTACATGCAAAGAAAAAAACTATTAGGTAGACTTGACCAATATAATAGTTAAATGGTCCCAACCCATCGAATCGTTCTTGAATATAGTTACTCTCCCAACAACAAAGCACACACAACTAACTATTTTATGGTAGTTATACCCGTTACTCGTAGAGTAAAAGGGTATACTAGATTCGTCGGAAAATATGTAACAGGCAGAAGGAAGCGTTTCCGACCAAATAAAGTAGATATATTCTTGATCAGGATCACTAGCCGAGTCGATCTAGCCATGTCCGTCTGTCCGTCCGTCCGTCTGTCCGTATGAACGCAAAGATCTCGGAAACTATACAAGCTACAATACTGGGATTGGGCATGCAGTTTGCAAGTTTTGCGCAAGTTTGATTCAGCAGAATGCCACGCCCACTCTAACGCCCAAAACTGTGGCTTATACAGTTTTGATGCTAGAATAAAAATTTTAGCTGAAATGTATTGGCCTCGTCAATACCTATCGATTGGTCCAAACAAAAATTTCCAAGTCCACTCTAACGCCCAAAACGCTTAAATCTGTCTACCGCCGGTAGGTGGCGCATTTCAATCTCGCTTTGCTGCTTGCATATCTCCATTTCCCTTTGGTCCCTTTAGCTGAGTAACGGGTATCTGATAGACGGGGTACTCGACTATAGCGTTCTTTCTTGTTTTACTTTTAAATAGCAACAAAAGCATCATTAAAATAAAAGTAAATATATTTAATAGTTCCTAATCTTTTATTACAGTTACATAAAAATCAGCTTTCGTCCATATTACGCATAACTTTTTTTGTGCGGGCAAAAGTGCTTCCAATGTTCACTTGCCTTTTGTTGAGTAACTGACCAACAGCACTGGGCCATCAAAGCTACTTGATATGCTGATCAGATAGAAATTGAATTATCGAGTTTGGTAATATTGTACTTTAATTTTGTGGTAAACAGTCATATTATGATATCATTTAGGACGTATATAAATATTATTTCGGCAAAACTGATTTTGGCACTGGCTTCACCTTCGCTATTGGCAAGGTTATATCCAAATTTGGCACATTTATGTGAGTGATGAGATTGTCTCGATTTGAAGGTGGGGAGTGATCCTGATCGAGAATATATGTTCTTTAGGGTCGAATACGTCGAATACATAAACCCTTTTAATCTACGAGTAAAGGGTATAGAATGCCTTATTTTTTTCCCGCACCCGTGTAAAAGGAATGGACAGACTCTTTACTTTCGGCACAGGTTTTTGGTGCCATTTCATAACGAAAGAACGAGTGCTGGAATGCTGTCATTTACGACTGGGAATGTTTATAAATATGCATAATATATATGCACATATTATACATCAACACTATTAATTAAGACTTAATGAAGCTATGATTGTTTGTTTATGTTTACAAGTTTACATTATCATTAATTTACCTGAGATGGAGCAAGAGCATACACTGCTTTAAATATTGTATAATATTAAGCTGGTTGTTCACTTTGTTGATAACCCATCCTTAACATAATTTTGTTACTTACGTGTAAGATACACAGCTTCGAAGCGCCATCTAGTGTTGGCGCGCTGACGTCCGTTGTAGGGAGCCACCAGTACGTTAGACGAGGAAATACCGATACCGATAAGTTCACATATCGATTTCCGTTATTCGATTTGTGTGTATATTGGATACCGATAGCTACTCGATATCGATAATCTTTTGGCCTGTAAATGTTTATCATCTAGCAGTGTCTACCGTCTATCGAAACTGTCCACAACAACATAACATCGCGTCGCGTACGTTGAAAAAAAGAAGATAAAACCAAGTGTAGATACATCCTCGTTGTTTTTAATTTCCATGGCGCTGCCTTTAATGATCCGTGCCCAAGTGAATAGCTGAGTACACACCTACATGTATGGCCAAGTGAAAAAACGCACCGAGTTGCGATGAGCAGCTTCGAAAAATGGCAGCAGAGGCAGCAGCAGCAGCGTTGTGCAAGTGAATTAATGTCGAATTGCGCACAATTATTGTTGTTTTTATTAGTGGTAGTATGTGCAGTTGCTTGTGGCGGCGCGAAAAGTTCGCAAAGTTCGCTGATTTTGCGGACAGGAGGTGGCAATCGCTCGGAATAACGGTGTACAGGAAGGCGAAGAGAAAAACAAACTGAAAAGCAGAGCAAACAAATAGAAACGGTGAAAAACGCAACAGAGTGAACTGCTTTCCAGTGCTGCCCCCTCGCCAATTCTTCCATCCGCCTCCCCTTTTAACCCCCCTGGAAGTCACCCCAAACAAACCAAAAAAAAAAAAAAAAAATCAAATTACGTGGCAAGTGGTCAGGCGAGAACAACAACAAACAAGAAAACCTGCTGCTGCAAGTTTTTTTTTTTGGCTTACTGTACGTTCTTAGAACGCCCCCCTTCCACCACCCAACCACCCAAATAAAGGAGTATAACAATCCGTCGAAATGTCGTCACTCAAGGTCGCCGTGAGGGTTCGACCCTTTAACTCCCGGTAAGTCCAGATATTCTATAGCTATTTATAGTCACAGCAGCGGTCAAAATAGTGGCAGCCCAAGAAAGACACAGCAAAATCAATCAAATAGATTAGTTCCAGATCTTAAATCAGGGTTATATGATCTAAAACTAAGAACCTCAGCTTCAAAGTAAAGGATTTCTTGATATTTTTATTTAGCCCATCCCAAAAATATTGTTATTTTCTAATATTTTTTACAAAAATACATCAAAAAAGCTCTCAAACCTTGTTTGTGGTTCAAAGTTTGTTCATACTTTTAAAGAGATAGCTGCCCATGACTAAAATAATATATTTACTTAGTTCATTGAGTACTACATGTTAAAACCTTTACAATCCCCAAGTAAACACACTTTAAATAGGAGACACATAGCTAGAGTTATTTCTATGACCTCAATTATAAGTAAGAGAATGTTTGTCCCGAACCCGTGATAAGGCGTATAAAGTTTAAAACGCCCCTCAATGAACGTTTGGAAATTTTTTGCGCATTTGACTAGCCCTAAAGAATGGAAACAAATCTCAGAAAATTCCACAATTTCGGTTAACAAATTTGTGTACCAAGAAAACCCCTCGAAATGAAAACATAAAAAGTACTAAGTCTAGCCGAATGTGCCTACTTAAAACCACATTAAACCCTTTTTTTTTACCAACCTCGTCTACGATCGTTAACCATTTTGGTTGCTGTATTTTGTATTTTTTTTTTTTGGGTCTTTATGCTGTCTATCTGGCGAAGCGGTCATTGCTTTTGGCACAGTTACTTGCGCATAAAGCCGATTCGAAACAAAGCCAGGAGAAAAAATAAAGACAAACGCACAGAGAGGTTGGCAGAACCGCCAGACAAAGAAAGATATGCCCCGTAATGATGTCATTCATCTCGGGGTTCGATATAAAAATCACATGAACCTATACAAAACGAGCTCTCTGGGCCCTGGGTTTACGGCTTGCCGTGTGTTAATTGTGCATGAAATAAAACAACATCATCAACGGGCAAATGCTGTAATTATAATAGCAAAAAACTAGAGCTAAACTCCCCGTCGAGTTGTGACATCATCGTTTTGGCTCAGACTTATGCAAAGCAGCTACTTATAAGGACAGGGAAGACTCGATACAGTGAAATCACATGATTTCCAATACTTAAAAATGCACTAACTGCATGGTTATTCCTGATATATGATCTCATAAGATCTTTTAAACATAATGGAGATTACATGAGGTACTTCAGGAAACATATTTTTAAGTACTTTCTTAGTAAACACCTATTAATTTTGGCTTTTGTATTGGCTATGTCTAGACTTTAATCTTTATATGAACACACATTATATAAGATTAAGAGGATATGCATATAACATTTTATAAAATTAATCATTGGTCTTATAACTTTGTTAAAAACCTTCTTTGCCTAGAGCTTTCACTGTAAATATTTTTGCCCAGTTTGTTTGGCCTCCGGACGTAAATTTTTAGCACATATTTCCACGGCTCCTCAGTGGACATGCAAGACTGACTGCCCGTAGTAGCCTCCATGCGAAAACAAAAGCAGAAATCTACTATAATTACGTATAAGTATGCTTATATGCACTGCACCCAAAAAAAAAAAAACAAAAAAACAATATTTTGATTTTGGCACGAAACTGGCCGAACAAGTTCCATATCTCATCGCTACTTGTGAGTCAGACAGGCGAAATTTGTTGGTGTCCCGCATAAATGTTTAATTGAGGAATGAATCAACGCTAAAAAGAATTTCCCGCTGGAGGGAGTGATGTTGGTTAAATGGGGCGATAGCTCTGCAAACATAGCCGCTCTTTTTGCCCGTAATCTCCATCTGGATGTCTGCTCTCTCATCGGGCCAAAGATTAAAGAATTAAAGCCACTCAAACGCAATGAGCACTGAGCCGACTTGAGTGCAGCATTCATACATATGTACATATGTAGCAAAGTGGAGCGTAGTAGTCATGGAGAAGAGGGGAATGACCTAAAATTGTCGCTCGAAATGGGACATGACACTACTGTTGTCATAAAATATGTATAGGGTCGAATCGCAAAAGTAATACCCTTTACTTGTTAAAAATAAGTTTATTTTATCTGAAAATATCTATTATAATCAATTTTGAACTCTGAAAAGTACCTAAATATGCAAGAGTTTCAATATAAAAAATTAGCTTAAAGAAAGATGACCTTATAAAGATACATTTAAGAACAAAATGTTGGAAACTCAGAAATTAATGTCCAAACCTTTTTTCATTGAGACTTTCAAGCAACAATGTTTAGAAACTAATTGTTCTCCACAGTCCCACGAATTTCTCATAACAGGTTTATTATAGTGCTAAATACAGATAGTAAATACAATTCTAATAACAATCATGTGATCTTTTTCCGTATATCTCAGCCTAGAATTTATGACCCGTATAATCGAGTTTATTAAGATTTAGTGTAGCCACTTTTACCCTGAATTGGGTGCTATCAGAGGTCTTCTGTTTATTTAGATGCGCTTTCGTGTGTTTTCTTTCCAGTTGGAGTCTATTTCCGCGTGTGGGTGCCCCTATGAACTCCAGTCAACCGGTTCGGTTCCATCTTGAAACGAATGTTCTATGCCCAGACGCTAGTTTTTCCATCTCTTTTATTTGCGCCGCTTTTCCTTTTGATGTTGCAATCAAGTCTTTCGCTTTATTATTCCCTCCAAACCGGATATTCTTTTTTTAATTCGTAGCTAGTTCAACGTCGTCTGATCACAGGGCAAACATGTCAATTGGATTGCATGGGGCAGTCTATTTCTCTTCTAATTCCATTCGTTTTCCCCGTGTAAACGCCCCCTGACTATTCGCCATTTGTTTCGGGTCATGCAAAAATCGTTAATAGGAATATTTATGAGCAAGCTGTGCGGTCTATTTATATGCCAACACGAAAGGCCCCGAGGGGCGGGACTTCGGAGGTGTTTGAGAGAAAAAGCAAACAGCATTTATTATATAAAACTTTAACAATAGGCTTGCTTACTTGTCAGCCAGAGTCCCATTATTTGCGACAAGCACTGACAACTTTCATGGACAAGTAATAAATAAAAATGTCATTTGCACTTCCCTTTATTGCAGTGAGATCGACATGGACGCCCAGCTCATCATGGAGATGGAGAACAAGAAGACGCGTCTTCTGAAGCCTCGTCTACAGTCCATTCGCGATGCCGGCCGGGACAATCATCATGACTTCACATTCGACTATTCCTACTGGTCATTCGATGCGGAGGATCCGCACTTTGCCACCCAGGAGCAGGTGTACAGCGATCTGGGCAACGATGTCGTCGATTGCGCCTACGAAGGTGAGCCAAGGTCCAAGGGGTCACGCCATTCGATTACACAATTGTGACGCATTAACCCCCAGCTAATTGAGCGAGCGTTGGTCTATGGGCTTTCCTTTTGGGGTCGTCACCCACATGAGAAATGCACAGAAAAAGTCTCAGAAATGGGTCTTGAAAATGGTCATAAACATATCCCACAACACATTCATAAAGTATCCTGAAGAATTCGCGTTTTAGGAAGAGAAGAAAAGCTTTAAAAATATTAGAAGTTGATCTACTTTATGGACCACTTACAACTTTTTTAATGACAGCATATGCGTCCTAAATTTTTATTTTTTAAGGAAATAAATTTTAAAGTATTTTTTTTAATTTTTAAGATTTTAAATTTTAGTTTTTCATGTGTACTTTTTCCATTAGCCCCACACCGAGAGCGTGTTTCTTTCATTCTGTTTTCTTGCACTCACGGTTTTGCTTACATTTTCCCTGTGCGTCTGCTTATTGGCTTTGATATTGGGTTTTCCCTCTCGTTGCCCAAATTTTCTGCTTTGTAAACAACATTGCGGCTCTAAAAATAAAAACAGCACGTATACTAAAAAAGCCCACACAACTTGCCTCAGCTTGAAACGCTCTGCTGACGACTAATTATAAATGAATTTAAGTTTGTATGCAAGTAGGTGCAGTTAGCAATAATCATGTGAATTTCCTGATACTGGATGGCTGACCGCCGGTCCAGAATTTTCCAGAATCACGAGAAATTTCGAGATGACAGCTCATATTTTGTCATATATTTTCAGCAATGGTTCTCAGCTGTTCATCAATTTTACTGCCTGGTGTTTTATTCGAACATTAACAAGATAATAATAGTAGTTATAGCGCAATTAGTAGACTATAAATGAAATAATATGTTAGGTCATCATAACAATATGACGTTATTTGCAACATTTTATTAAGATTGACTTGATTACAAGTTTTAATCATTGTGAAATTCTTTTTTAAAATCCTAAATCAAACTTATTTGAATTATCTAGGGTATGAACTGCTTCGTCTAGCTTTTGAGTGGGCTTGGTTTTATTGCAAAAGCTAAGCAGGAAAGTAAGTCAAAGAAAACTTTCGCCCCCAACTCAAGATGCCAAACGAAATGGAACAGCTGTTTTTCGCTCGGCGTTGTTTTGGCACGCTTTCAATATCAAATTACGACAAGCCAAGATTGGCAAAGTGGCAATGGGAATGCGAGTACGAATGCGAATGCGAATGACAAACGGCTAACATGCATTCGCTATGCAGATAAACCAAGACACTGCAAAACGATCCATAAACAATGAGTGCAGTGGCGTCCAACTGGCTGGCCGGGTATTTGAGTTAAAACTCTTTGGAAATGTGCAGGTGCACTGAAGAAAATGTTAGAATTTTTAAGAAAATATACGATATTAAGATACTATTCTTAATTCAAGTCAATTATAAAATCTCACTGATGTTTCAGAGTCTAAACACAACTGAATCATTGGAAATATTAAAATGCTTAATAATTATTAATAAAAAAGGGCATCTAATTATAATACATATATTTTTTTAACAATAAATCACTTAGAAAATCAATATTAATGTGTAGATGAATTTTATGTCTTGATTTGCTGGAGGAATTCATGCTTTGAATACCTAAAGAGCATTTTAGAAATCTATAAAAATATACAAATTCCATTTAAACTCATAAATGAAAAGTTTGAGTAGTCAGATTTCTTTCTGTGTGGCCTACTAAACGTCGGACAAATTTTCCTAAGCTGTGAGCATTGTCGGTAATTGTTTTTGCACCACCTGTGCGGTCTCGAGTGACGTCGAATGCCAGAGCAAATCTTATCTCACACCTGTCGACCATCGAGATTGTCCAACGAGCTGCTGAAACGTTTGAGCCGCCCATCCTCCAATCCTCACTTGGTGTAATTCGAGCTGAAGGCACTGGATCCGATGGCTTTAATTGCTGCTGGCTAGGCGCCAACGATGATGTCGCAATTTGTTGGCGCTAGACAAAGTTTCAGATAGTTCATCTCTTGAGTCATCACATTTATTGAATACATTTGCGGTAACTTTTTTTCTAACTGACAAAAAAGTCGCTTATCGATTTCCCCTCTTTGACGGGGTAAGTGTTAGTGCAAATATTTGGAATCTCCGGCAGTAAAGACCACTTCAAACTGATAAAAGTTTAAGTGCAGCTATAAAAAATATCAATGAACAGCAAATATCAATATTTAACAAAGTAGTTTAACTTACAGAGCAGAAGTTTATTTGAATTTAATTGGTAAAAAAGATGTGTTATAAGAGCTTTTCTTTTTTTGAGCAAATATACAAGTTATTAACTGGAAAGTTAATTGACTATCAAAAACCATTTATGCACTTCAATTTGTGCTTGTGTCATACGAAGTCTATTTATTTAACCCCATGTATGGTGGGAAGCTTCCCCAATTTTGATTTTTTTTATTTCCACTCTAAATGCTATGATGTGTCACCGGTGATGGTGCATTCTCATTACCCAGTCACGAAATGCTTGCCTCACTTTTGGGAGGTTCAGCAATTGCAGCACCCTTCGTGACTGGCAATTACCTTTGAGTAGCATGATGCGCTTGAGTGGCAACCGCCCAACATTCACTTGGCTTTAGTTCTCAAACCATTAATAAAATAACTTTAAAATAACTAGTTTACTTAATTAATACGTAACTAATGAGATTTTCTGTGGTTTATCTATCTTCTCAGGATACAATGCGTGCGTTTTTGCCTACGGACAGACGGGCTCCGGAAAGACCTTCACCATGATGGGTACTCAAAATAATCCTGGCCTAATACCGCGCATCTGCGAGGAGCTGTTTGCCCGCATGCGTGTGGGTCAGGAGTCGGGCACTGGTTATAGGACACACGCCAGCTATCTGGAGATATACAATGAGAGGGTCAAGGATCTCCTGGCTGCACAGAGCACTGGACATGGTCTCAGAGTTCGGGAGCATCGTAGCCTGGGTCCCTATGTGGAGAATCTGTCACAGCATGCCGTCTCCGATTTCGATGAGATTCAGGTGAGTTATTGGCCTTCTGGGCATCTGAGAATTTGGTACTAATTTTTAGAAATTACTTACAGGAATGCATTGCCCGGGGAAATGCGCAACGCACCACGGCCAGCACCAACATGAACGATACGAGCAGCCGCAGTCACGCCATCTTCACGATCACATTTGTGCAGGCGGTTTTCATGAATGACATGCCAAGCGAGACAGTCTCGAAGATCCATTTGGTCGATTTGGCAGGCAGGTGCGTAAGCGTAAACGCAAGCGGAGCATGAAGCACTGCTCTAGAAAGTAAAATCACACTAGGGAAAAATTATATATATCTCGAAATGTGGAGTAGACCTATTTTTAAATAATTTTCTCCTAAAAAGATACCAATTCATATTTTATTCATCTCCCCTTTTGTTTCTTTCAGTGAGCGCGCCAATGCAACGGGGGCAACAGGTCAGCGCTTGAAGGAGGGCGCCCACATTAACAAATCGCTGGTGACTCTGGGTAGCGTGATCTCGGCTCTGGCGGAACAGACGGGTGGCGCCCACAACAGCAGTAGCTCCGCACTGGCAACCACCCCAAATGGGGCCAGTAAGCGAGTGCTCTACATTCCCTACCGTGACTCCATCCTCACGTGGCTGCTCAAGGACAGTTTGGGCGGCAACAGCAAGACCATCATGATTGCAGCCCTTTCGCCGGCGGATTGTAACTACAGTGAAACTCTCAGTACTTTGCGATACGCCAATAGAGCGAAGAACATCATCAACAAGCCGACGGTGAACGAAGATACCAATGTGAAGCTCATTCGCGAGCTCAGGGAGGAGATCAACAAGCTCAAGTCCATGCTGTCGGGGGATATTGTAAGTAGCTACTAGCTATCATATGTGATTATTCCAACTTAACTACAACTTAAAAACCTTTACTTTAGCATTCGCTGCAGCCATCGCTCAAGGTATTGGCCGATCTCCAAAAGAAGGAGGCTCAAGAAAAAGTACTCACCGAGGAATGGACGGAGAAGTGGAAGGTGGCCCAGTCCATATTGCAGGAGCAGAAGAGTCTGGGTCTGCGCAAGTCGGGCGTGGGCGTGGTTCTTGACTCAGAGATGCCGCATCTAATTGGCATCCACAACGACGTGACCACCGGAGTGACCCTCTACAGTCTGAAAGAGGGCGAGACGCGAATTGGCAGCGAGGATGCGGATGTGGCGCAGGACATCGAGTTGGCCGGTGATGGCATAAGGGCGCAGCATTGCAGCATTGTTTTAAAGGGCGGCGTGGTTACGCTGCATCCCTGGCCTATGGCCCAGTGCTGGGTGAACGCCCACCTAATTGACGAACCCAAGCAGATCTCGCAGGGCGATATCATATTGCTTGGGCGAACCAACATCTTCCGCTTTAACAATCCCGCCGAGGCTGCCAAGCTTAGGAAGGATTTGAGTCGCTCGCAGCTAGACATGTCCCGGCTGTCTCTCATTACCTCCTCCAAGGAAAACCTGCTCACCTGCAGCATATACTCGGATGAGGATGGCGCATCGCCTTATAAACGGCCAGAGCGGCAGTATTATCCTCAGCGACCTATGTCGCGAGACGATCCCGAAATGCAAGACGAAAATCGAAAGATTCTAGACACTATAGAAAATGCCCTGAAACAGCTCAATGTGGTAAGTGTTTAGAGTAACACAAAATCGTATTATTGTATTAAAAAATCCCGTTTTCCTTATTTAGGAACGCGTCCAGATGCACGACCAATACAAGACCAAAGTGCGCAAGCTAACCGAAGAGCTTATTCGCTTGGAGCAGGAGGAAATAGACGGCTTGCAGGTGTTGAATTGCCGGGAACAGGAACTAATCGCCCGCAAGGACATGCTGTTGTGGGAGAAGAACAATGAGAAGGTTCAGGTGCGTCTATCTGATCCCATGATTGCATGTCATCATTAATTGTTCTTAAAAATGGATGGATTGATCATTGTGCTTGTTACATTGCCTGTTCTCCTTTATTGTTTTCCTTGTTTTGGCTTTATGTTCCTTACGATTTTCTGTTCGTTCCATTTTCGTTTTAGATCGACATTGTGTGTAGACAAATTTCAGCGTTTCAGACGCAGCTCGACTCTAAGAAACGAGATTTCTCTGAGTATGTAGCGAAAGAATTGCAGGAACTGCAAGATTGTGGCAAACTAGACGAGGTTTGTTCGTTTGTTTAGAAATTATTTTGCCTAGAGATTAGATTAGATGATAATAAATATTTATTAAATGTAATGTTTAACATACGAATTTCTGTGTTCACAGATGGGAATGAAGATCGAAGAGGGTACTCCTCTGAACGATGAACTGCTTTTGCAGGTGTCGGATTCCTTGGATTTGTTTGCAGCACAGTTTATAAAAGATACTGTGCGCAGAAATGTAGGTGTAATTGTTTAATATACTACAAACGTTTTTGTTAAATTTTTTAAAACATTTAAGAATGAGGAAATCCGCAAATTGGACGAACAAATAGCCGAAAAGGAGAGAATACTCAATGCCAGCACTACTAAAATCGCCAAGGTCGATGAGACCATGCTGGAGATCCAGGCCCAGCTGGAGCGTCTGCGTCTGGAACGCGCCGAAAGTGAGGCTGAGTCTCAGGCGATGCGCACCAGGAAGCAGAACATGAAGCTACAGTTGGCCAACAAGTCCATGTCCACCTCGACCAGCACAAACGAGGCTGACGATGTGTCCAAGTCGGACACGTACGAAACCTGTGATACCTTCCACACCGCCCAGTCCAACTTATCGCTCGTCTCATCGCCCACCATTACGGAGGGCCAACAGTCGCCGCTAAGCAATTGTTCCTGCGATGCAGAGGACGAGGCGGAGGACACGCGCAAGGATGACCTTTCGGGCAGCAGCGAGGAGACCTCACGCACCTGTACCGCCGGTCCCAGCAGTGGAAGTGGAAGTGGCAGCGTGGGAATAGGAGGTTCCGGCTCAGCGCCCAGTGCCACACCCAGCTCACAGGCTATCATGAGCGACAGCGGTGTCTGCCTGGACAGTCGTAATCAGGCCCTCCTCCAGAATGGCCACCTCAATAACTACAAACAAGGAGTGCGAACCAGCGACGAGGATACCGGGTCATGTTCCTCCTGCGAACTGGGCCGACACTCGGATTCGGCACGTCCTTACTGTCCGCTGCATTCACTGCGGCGCAAAATCGCTGCTCAAAAGGCTCTGATTATGAAGAACCTCGAAACGGACTTGAACAAGGTCCAGTTGGATGAGCATATTGCAGACCTGCAGGATCTGCAGAGACGCTACATTCAAATGGAGCAGGAGATGCTGCAATCGGTGCAGGATTTGGAGGCACATGCTCAGTGCTGTGCGGACGAGCGATCCGGCATGGAACGACAATACGAACTGGCCAGTTCCATTATGCGCTCGAGTGTCATGAGTCCCACCAGCATGGAGGAGTCCACTTCGCAGATTTACTCACCCAGCATGACAAGATCCTGTCCGTCGATGCGCGAGTTTCGTAAGTATTTGTTTTTATATAATCATTTAAGATTGGAAGTATTTGCAACACAGATTCCTGTTCATGTATTTAATTATTTTTTCATTTTTCTTTAGCCGAGGGCGAACATTTCATTACTATCCCGAGTTTTGTGATGCGGGGCGCCGGCAAGCAAACGCACTACGAATACGAGGTTCGCATCGCTCTTCCCGATGGCAAGTTGAACATTCTCCGGCGATACAGTCGCTTCAGGGAGCTGCATCTGTGCATGAAGCACTGCTACGGAGCCAAGGTAAAAAACATGGTGAAAGAGAAGTTTTTCCATTTTACTTATTGATTAAATCCAACCAGATATCTGCACTACCCTTTCCCCGGCGGGAGCTCTTCGCCTCGAACAGCGAGCCAGTGGCGAAACATCGTCGCCGTCTGCTGGAACTATATTTGCGACGCCTATTCGTCGTCTGCTCGAAGATTCCGCAGTGTCCCATCTACGAGGGACCCGGGGGAACCGGCCTCACACGATCCTCCCTCGTCCAGCTGTCGTCTTTTTTCAAGAAGGGCCTGTTCGAGAACGGCAAGCACGGGACGGGATAATAGTTAACCTACTGCTGAATTATCTCCTGCCTACAGTGTGTCTTTTTATTTACTTGTACTACCTGTTAAGCTATATGAACGACAACATGGACCTGTTTTGATTAGCTAGCCGAAACTACTATCTAGGTTTATTAGCTGTAAGCCCCGTAGCAATGTAAGACCACCAGTGTCCTTTCTCACACCCGAGCATATGTGCGACATTTTTTATATCCATTGTTATTCACTGAACCGGAGCTTTATATTGAAATCACTGTAAAATGTAACTGCCAGTGGCGATGTTGCAATCTCTGTTTTGTACAACTCCAATTGCAAATATGTATTCTATCTATTATCTTCGTGTTGGAGGTTTGTTTAGATGGTTTGTTGGTGTTTGCGGCCAGTTTTAATTAGTTAATTATTTCTCTCTACTAGTTAAATATACGCCTAGGTGTACAACTTCCAAAAAAGTTATTCCAGTTATTTAGTCTGTGATTACCAACTGAAGTTATTGAACAGAATCCAAGCAAATGAGCGTAACTGAACATTTCACGAGCGAGTAATAGTAATCCAACTGACAACTCCGTAGTCTACAATCTCTTAGGCGTAAGCTAATTGTACAAATCGAACACTGATGGGTTTAGGTGGGCAGATGTTTAGCAGTAGGTATTAGGTACACTAGCAACTAAGTTCTAGCTCTTAACCGATGAGTCGCAATTATACTAAACTAATTATGAGTACAATTCCCGAAAATGAATCAACATGAAATGTTCAATGTAAAAAGCATAGAGTAAGTTTACTTTTAGCAATATGCTAGTTGATTTTGAATGGTGAAATTGGTCGATCGTGGGATCGATGGCAATACTGAAACAATAATAACCTAGATGTAGTGAAACCTGATGGTTCCGCCCACTCAAACGTATGTCCCTCAGGGGCAGGCCAATACCGATTTGACAACAGAGTGGCTGCTGTCTTAAAAAAAAAAAAAAATACGTAAATATATACAAATTAGTAAAGAACTGTTATTTATTTATTAATGGGCAGTAGTGAAAACTTTTTAAAACCACCACTGTAACTTATGTAAAATTGTTAAATTATACATGGTGTATCTTGACATGACTTGTTTACTTCATGTATTATACTTCCGTTGATGGAGGATGTCTGATTGTGGAATTTTGGGGGAAAGGCTTAAGTCAATCTATTATTCATAAGTTTTAGATTGTTTTAGTTTTAAAAATATATTTTAAAATGTAAATTGCGTTGTTTATAGCCAATTCCTTAAATATCTTGGAATTTTAAATTACTTGGTCGCCAGATGTCGCTGTTACAATATGACAATGTAAAATTGAACTGTGTTGTTTATTTCTCTTAAAAGATATTCAAATTATATAATTACCTTAACCATTAAATGCCTTCATTTCGCTGATATTGGCAGTTTCCATGTATTTTGATTGAGCAAAAACTTGCATTTTGAATTGTATCAGAATAATGATGTAGCCGAATGTAGTGACAACCATCTGAAATACATAGGTAGTTGAGTATGAAATTGTAACTGTGAGAACATTTTAATTTTACCCCTCCAAAGTACTTGAGATTGATGTCGAATAATCCGCCACAGGTGAAACGGAGCTTAAGGTGTTGCATTTGCAGGGAGTACTCCCTTAGACCCATTTTTAACATTTGGTAGTCTTCGGTTGCAGGCAAGCAATAAATTTGGTGAAGAATTCGTGGGATGCTATTGTACTAACAAAGACCTTGTAATTAGGAACTACAGTTATTAGATATAGTTGATCAGGCAAGCCTACCGCTTGGATGCATAATTCACTGTAAAAGCAGGCCAGAAAAATATTGATCGATAGTAAAAGAGTAACCCCGATGCGCACTACAAATATGAAAAAAAATGTAAAATAATTTACATGAGATTTGATATAAGACTCACTGTATTGACAGCAATCGTTCGGATTTACGGATTTTATGAGAGCCCAGTTGACAACATGCGGGATGGTAAGTCCGTTGTAAACGAACAGCAGCGTCATGGACAGGGTGAAATATTCTCCAATCTCACCCACCAAACTCCAGATTCGTCCAACCAGCAACTGATTTCGTTTCAAAGTCACACACAGCTCCTGAATCCTGGTCCTGCAATTACAATCCTCTAGCTCTACTACGATCTGCTGAAGGATAAGGCGCAACCGCAGAATTAGCTCATAAATCAGCAAAACAAACACGCAATACTCTGCACTTTTGAGTTGAGTCATTATCAGGACGAGCTCAGTGAGTACTTTATTTGTCCAGTGAAGGAAGGGACCCAGTCCCACAAGCGTAAAGCGTGGTGTAAGGCCTACAAGTAGCACTATCCACAGTCCCACGAAAATAGCTATTCGGTATCGAAAACTCCACCAGTGCCCCCGTACACTGAAACCCGGCAAAGAATTATTTATATCCTTCTCCAGATCCGCAATGTCCTCGTAGATTCGAGCCAGGCGGCGAAAGTTCAAGAGCATGTTTAGTTGGTTGCAACTAGCCATAGCTACCACAAGAATCTTCTGCGTCCTTCCCATAACTCTGCTAAAATCATCCGCTCGGAAAAGATCTATTTCCTGATGTAATGCCACAATGTTGGCATAGCACTCATAGATAATCACCAGAAGAATTGCAAGTAAATAGCAGCTGTATCCAGCTATCAAGTAGCCTCTACGTCGCTTGAGCAATGTCCTGGTAAAAAATACAGGCGGAGGTGTGAGACCCAATATGGAAAGAACCTGAAGATAAGGACGAGCTGTGGTCAGCAGACGACTGCGGTTAACTTCCATGTCCGTCGAGGTGTTAAAAGGCACTGCCAAAAGTCAAAGTTTGGTGGGTAATAGTTTAGCAAACCCACTTTCTTTAATTAGTTTCTTTAGATGATCAAACTAACTTAAGTTAAATTAAGAACTTTCCATTAGATATTAAATGGGTCACAAGAGTTTTCATTACACTGAAAAAAATCGAGCTATTATCTCGGAAAACACGTTTTAGTAATTAGTACGATAAGATTGCTGACTATTTTTATAGAAAAAAATACAAAGCTTAAATATTTGCTTTTTACAAAAAGAATGATATAAGAATGATATATATCAGTTCACAAGGTATTATTTCTAAAGTAACAGGAAGGTTGTAGAAATCAACAAAAATGGGTTTATTAATCTATAATTTTTAACATATTGCATCTTTTCTATTTTCTGGATAGTAGCCCAATGACAGATTATTAAACCTATTATTGTTTCCAATTTTTTTTTTATTTTGTTTATTTTTTGACGTGTTACCTCATTCATCGTAAATTTCGCTTATGTTTTGGGTTTCAAAATATTTTGATTGCGCAAAAACTTGAATTTTGAATTGTATAAGAATAATTATATAACCCAATATGGTTACGACCATCTAAAAAGAGGAAGCTGAGTAAAAAGTGGCGTTTGGTAGGACACATTACTTTTACCCCTCCGAAGTACTTTAGATTTATGTCGAAGAACCCGCCGCAAGTGAAGATCAGCTTTAGATGTTGCATTTGCAAGGAGTATTCCTTGAGGCCCATTTTCAGCATTGGATAATCTTCCGCTGCAGGCAGACAATAGATTTGGTGAAGAATTCGGGGAATGCTATTGTACTAAGAATGTTATGATTATGGATTATGATTAAATTCATAGTATATACTTGATTGGGAATGTATACCACTTTTACGCAGAATTCACAATATAAGCAGGCCACAAAAATATTGGTCGTTAGTAAAAGACTAACACCGATTCGCGCTATAAGAAGTAAAATTAAAAGTAAATTCCTTTAAGACTGGATAGAATACTTACAGTACTGGCAGCAATCGTTTGGATTGATTGATTTTATAAGAGCCCAGTTGACCACGTGCAAGATAGTCAGTCCATTAAAGAGAAACAGCAAAGTCATAGATACGGTGAAATAACATCCAATCTCACCCACCAACCTCCAGATTCGGCCCACCAGTAGCTGATTGCCTTTCAGGACCACACACAGCTCCTGAATCCTCTCACTGCAATTACAATTCTCAAGTTCTGTTTGAATCTGCCCGAGAATATGCCGAACTCGCAGGATCAGCTCATAGATCAGAAGCACGAAAACGCAAAACTCCGGACCTTTAAGTTGTAGAGTTATCAGGATGATCTCAGTAGATATTTTATTTGCCCAATGAAGCAGGGGTGCCAGACGCCGGAGGGTAAGACGGGGAATAAAACTTATAATCAGCACCATCCACAATCCCACGAAAAGGGCCATTCGGAATTTGAAGCTCCACCAATATCTCCGTCCACAAAAGCCCTTAGAAGAGTTTTCTACCTGTAGTTCCAGATCCGCAATATCCTCGTAGATTCGACCAAGACGGCGAAAGTTCAGTAGCATATTTAGTTGGTTGCAACAAGCCATGGTCAGCACGAGAAACTTTTGTGTCCTTCCCATAACTTTGCTGAAATCCTCCGAGTGAAACTGCTTTATTTCCTGATGAAGGGCTATAATATTAGCATAACACTCATATAAGACCAACAGAAGAATTCCAAACAAATAGCAGCTGTATCCTGCTATTAAGTAGCCTCTACGTCGTTTGTGCAATGTCCTGGTAAAAAATAAAGGCGGAGGTGTAAGTCCGAACATGGAAAGAACCTGAAGATAAGGACGAGCTGTGGTCAGCAGACGACTGCGATTAACTTCCATGTTCGTCAAGGTATCGATGGGAACTGGTCAGCAACATTAGCTCCCTCACATATGACGGAAAACACTCCATTTTAATTGGGTAGATAAGATGACAAATGCATGCTTGTAATTATTTGCAAAGGTTGCATTGGGGTCTACCTCTTAAATTATTTAACAATAATAGGGTAAAGCCAATGTTTAAAGGTTCTTTTTTTTTTAAATAAAATACTGACATTAGGTAACGCCTAAGTTCCTTCTGTCAAAAAATATTGGCGGAGGTGTGAGTCCGAACAGTACAAATTAAAACCGAAATTAGTTTTCTTTATTATGGTTCAAATGATTGCTATATTAGTTTAATTTATAGAACAATAAATATTACTTATATAAAATTATTGACCGCTGATGTTGAAACTCGCCTTATATTTATTCTCAGCAATTGCCTGGATTTTGAATTGTATAAGAATAATGATATATCCCAAGATAGTGACCAGCATCTGCAATTATATAAATGTTAACAAAGCATTTTAGATAGTCTTTCTTTCTTTTACCCCTCCAAAGTATTTTAAATTGATGTCAAACAATCCGCCGCAGGTGAAGAGTAGCTTCAGGTGTTGCATCTGCAAGGAGTACTCCCGCAATCCTCTGGTTAGAATGGGAAAATCGGATGCTGCAGATATGCAACGAATTCTATGCAGGATTCGAGGGAAGCAGTTATACTAGGTACAGTAAAATTAGAATAAAACAAATTAATGGAATGTAAACTGAATTTACAAGTCAACTTACAGCGTTAATGCAATGCTGACTTATAAGGCAGGGCACTAAAAGGTTTAATAGGAGCATGGAGATAATCCAGAAACGGTCTGGAAAAAAAGTTGAAGATTAGGGAGATGTAAAAGTTTAGATTTATTTATACAACCATAGCGGCAGCAATCATTGTCGAGAAATGTATTTATATATGCCCAGTTGACCATGTGCAGGATGGTCAGTCCATTGTAGAGAAAAAGCAAAGTCATGGACAGGGTGAAATAGGCGCCCACTTCGCCCGTAACTCTCCAGATGCGTCCAATGAGCAACTGATTCCGCTTAAGGGCAACACATATAGCTTGGAGCATATCCTCCCGATCGCAGTCCTCCAATTCCACCTGCAGCTGCAGAATCGTGTGACGCAGTCTCAACACCAATTCGTGAATTATTAAAACAAATACACAATATTCCAGACTCTTGAGCTGCTGCATTATCATGATAAACTCGGTGAGAATCTTACATGGCCAGCTGACATAGGGACCCATGGCCATAAGAGTAAAACGGGGCGTTAGTGCCATCAAAAGGACCAACCACAGCCCCACACTGTAGACCAAGCGGAAGCGGAAACTGTAGCCTTGCCTTTGTCCACCGAAACACTGTGAGGCCTCGTCTATATCCTTCTCCAGATTGGCTATATCCTCGTAGATTCCGCCAAGTCGGCGATAATTGAACAGCATATTTAGTTGGTTGGCAATGGCCACAACCGAGTATAAGCTCTTTTGAATGTTACCCATAACCCTGGTAAAGTCTGCCACTTTGTAATCCAATACTTCCTTGTCAATGGCTACTATATTTAAGTGTGATACAAATAAGACCAGCACAATGATCCCAGCTGCATAGCAGACAAATCCAGCCATCAAGTACCATCTGAGCCTCTTATGTGAGGTATTACCAAAACTTTGGGGTGGTGGCGTTAGGGAAAACGCGGAAAATATCTGGAGATATGGAAAGGCTGTGGCCAAGAGACGGCTCTTTTTGGCCACCATATTGGTTGAGTGTTAAAAACCTACTGAAGAGCAAATTGAAGAATATACCAAGGAAAGTGATGGGTATTAAGTACCTATAGGTACTAAAAGTAATAAATACTAAAAAGTGCATAATATAGGTATAGAAATCTATTATAAGATCACAATAAATTGCCATTTTACTTACCTTTTGGTTTAGCATATCAGCATTTAATTTGGAAATTGTTGTTATTTCCAATACTATCTGAAATACTAAACGGGTTAAATTAATTGTGTACCTTACCCATCACTGAGTTTCATCGCTTACCTAATTATTCACTATACCAAGGCAAGCACATTTCACTAATTAGGTAGATTAGATGGGCTTCGAGTTGCTTTTCGGGGGGTCATCCTCTGTTCCCCTGGATGATTTCTATCTTGGTTGCCTGGCCAATTTCCACGTCATAACGCTGGTAATTTCCATTTACCATACCATGCAAATGTGGGTTAAATTGTTTTTGTCTTTGGCCAGCAATCAGCATTGTCTCTCGACGATTGCATGTGCAGCCACACATTTCCATCTCTCCATCTGTCGCTTTCAATTGCTCCACTTTCTTGCTTCATTTTCCATTTTGTGCACATAATTGCACTTCTTGTGAGCCAAAGTGGGCAAACATCCAACGTCACCATCACCATCACCATCGCCATCATCCACATCCACATCTTCGCAAGCTGATGCTGCAGCACAAGCCAAATCAAACGAAAACACCCTCTTGTTCAATCCCCAACCGCCTGCTAATCCCGTGCTGGAATTTCCCAGGGATCCTGGGGATCCACATGCACACACGAGGATTCGAGGATACGGATGAGGGTTGCCGGCGCGAAGGCAAGACATTGACGGGATTAAGTGTCCTTTTTAATTTTAAACTACTTCACTTCACTTTGCACAGTCAATGAGTGCGCTGCACCTCCTCCACATCCATCCACATCCACATCCACATCCACCTACACATCCTGATCCTGATCCTTTTTGCCCATCGCTCGGTTAGGCTTCCCCTCGTTTTATTTTTTGTTACTTTGGCCATGTATGTTTCTCTTGCGAGTCCTTTTCTTTTAAGCTTGATTAAGCACTTTGTGTAACTCTATGACATGGACATGCATTTGCATGCTGGACTCCGTGCCAATGGCATTTTTAATTTGCCATAGCAACATATCCTGATCCGGCACCACTTCACACCAGTGCTGCCGATAGACTATACAAAGAAACGTGGCTAGATATAACACCAATAAGGAACCCATCCTAAAAAGATTGATAACAATATTTAAGATATACATACAACATTTTAAATGTATTACTATGGCCTTTAGACAAATTCACACCTCAGAATA